ACCCAGTGAAAACATAGACAGCTTTCTCAGGAAGCTGGGTGATTTGAGGCAACACAAGTGCAGTGGTGGCACCTTGGAAGGAGTGGAAGCACATGGCCAGGAGAAGGATTGGGAAAAAGAAGGGAACAAGATCTTCTCCTCATTGCTGCAATGAGCTTTGCACCAGCTCTCCATCATCTTTTGTCATGTTAGAAGTCAAGCTTTCATAGACCAACTTTAGCTCAGTAAAATGAATTCTGAAGATTTTGCTTCATTTGTTTGTACACATACTCAAGTTTTCAAATAAATGCACAGAGCAATGTAAGTGAAGAAATTCAAAGGAGAGCATTTGCTGTGAGGTTCCAAGACAGAGTGTGCTCTTTGAAAGGCAGCACTCTCTTCCCTATTCACACATATCTTAATGCCTAGCTTCATGTTTAAAAAGACCACATGCCAAATTAAATGCAGAATCTAATCTGTTAAAGCAACTGCAATTTTCTGCTTTGGTCAGAATCCCAATTACAACAACAAACAACGCAGCCAGTGATTAATAACAAGCCTAACCAAAACTCATGTTATTACTGCCTATCTGATCTACTCACTCATTCCTGCTCATGCAGGATACCACAGGCTGGCAGCAGCCACAGCCTGCACAAAGGTGCTGCATCCAGCACGTGTAGCTGTCCAACAGTGCTCAACAGAAACATGTGCTGCAGAAATCTCATTTTGTGCACTTTTCACAATGTGTTGATACATCAGACCCAATTCAGCTTTGGCCTGAACTTCTTCAAACTTCATCTGATTAGATACATTCAAGTCACTTGATTGCTTTATGTTTGAAACATTAGTTTTTGAAAAAGAATGTCCTCAAGTCTCCAAAACACTGTTTCCAAACAATTGTGAAGATTCATTCTCTCAGCACAAGGCTATTCATTAAATTTATTTCTAAAGCTTTTGTTGACACATGGTTAGCCAGTGAAAGCTAAGCACTAAGGTGTTTGTGTATGTTAGAAAACTATTTATGATACTGTGATAGTTCTAAAATAAAATACTATTATGTGCTGAAATACAATCCTTTTTGTCCACTTGCAACAACCAAGCTGTAATCTCAGACTTGCACCATTAACTGCACGTTCTGCCCTTAACTCATTTCTTCCATCAATAACAGGTGAAGCTGCTGATCCAGCATGTGCATCTGACTATTCTTCCATGATTCTCTTCAGTCCACCAAAAATTGCCCTAAAGCACAATAAGAATTTTGCTGCAAAGCCCAGTTTACAGGTTTAGCTGAAAGCCTCTTAAAGGAAGAGAAAAAATATTTTGGCACGGAAACGCAACAGAAGAGCCAGAACAAGCCCAAAACCAGGCATCATCTGTTATGGAAAAGCAAAGTACAGGAGCAATGCTCTCTGTGAAAGGAGGCACTGGGGATAGAGAGACATTGGAAAAACAGCATAGAGCCAGGTTTGTTGTACCTGCAGTGAAAAGGAAGTCAAAAGCACAGGCACCTTGTGCTGCCAGCCTGGTGCTCTGACACTCATGACACCATTAAAGCTGTACCATACCACGTTGTTCTTCTGCAGAGTCAGGTATGGAGGGGCTTGACAGCTGGCCTGCAAGCAAAGCTGAGTTAATGGAAGAAATAACAATTGATGATTTTCCAGTGCATCCACAGCAAGGAAGAAGACAAGGCTGTCAGCATGGAAACAGATTAGAAAAAAAACATGGAAATGTTTGTAAGCTAGACTACATGCATAAGTAGATGTTTATACATGTCTTATTAAACTTCTGTAGAACTTTTGCCAATTATATTGACGCTAATTGCTTTGCACCAATGAATATAGTAAGTTATTGTGATGTAGTTAATGACTTAAGATCATGTTTTGTTAAAAGTATCTAAGCTGAAGAACACAAATAAAAACTTTTTATCTTGGACCCTGATCACATGTGTGTCATGTCTGACCTAATGGTGACAGCCAGTCTTGTACATCCCATCCTTCAGTGGTGCAGGTGACCCTCCTGAAGGACAGGCTGCCATCCAGAGGGACCTGGACAAGCTCAAGAGGTGGCCCATGGAAATCTCCTGTGCTTTAACAAGGCCAAGGCTGGTGCTGCACCTGGGCCAGGGCAGGCCCTGGTACCAGTCCAGGCTGGGGATGAGCAGATCCAGAGCAGCCCTGGCGAGAAGGACTTGGGGTGCAGGTGGGTGAGAGGCTGGACATGGGCCAGCAGTGCAGCTGGAGCCCAGAGAGCCAATGCCAGCCTGGGCTGCACCCAAAGCAGCCTGAGGGCAGCTGGGGAGGGGATCCTGCCCCTCTGCTCTGGGGAGATCCCACCTGGAGCTCTGCACCCAGCACAGCAAGGACAGGGAGCTGCTGCAGTGAGCCCACCAGGATTGGAGGGGATCCTGCCCCTCTGCTCTGCTCAGATCCCACCTGGAGCTCTGCATCCAGCCCTGGGCTCCCAGCACAGCAAGGACAGGGAACTGCTGCAGTAAGCCCAGAGCACAGCACCAGGATTAGAGGGATGGAGCACCTCTCATACCAGGACACGCTGAGGGAATTGGGGTTGCTCAGCCTGGAGAGGAGAAGGCTTTGGGGTCACCCAGCTGTGCCCTCCAGTGCCTGAAAGGAGCCTGCCAGAGCAGTGGAGAGGGACTTTTACAAGGGCATGCAGTGACGGAACAAGGGGGAGCTTTACAGTGAAAAAGAGCAGCTTTCTATTAGATTTAGGGGAAAATTCCTTGCTGTGTGAGTGGGGAGGCCCTGGCACAGGCTGCCCAGAGCAGCTGTGGCTGCCCCATCCCTGGAAGTGTTTAAAGCCAGGTTGGATGGAGCTCTGAGCAGCCTGGGATAGCAGAATGAGCCCCTGCCCATGGCAAGGGAGATGGAACTGGACCATCTTTGAGATTCCTTCCAACCCAGGCCATTCTATGATTCTATGATTCTATGTTATACAATATAAAAAACAATCACACTCAAACACTGGCTTACATTTCTTCTTGTAACATATGTAATAATTCTAGCACACTGTGCAACAAAGAAGCTAATAAATAAATATAACAGTTACAAATAAATACATTGATGCCAATAATGAACTGGAGCATGATTTTTGGCCCTGGATCTGTGATTGCTATAGTGCTTTAATTATGATAAAATCACAGAAAAGTGCCAACTATTCCTTAGCTTGATCCTGCATCTCATTTGGTCTATGTTCACTCTAAACATGTAACCAGACCTCAAAAAGCAATATTGCCATTCAGCCTTGTGCGACAGTGAATGATTTAAAGAGAAGCAGGAAATTTTCCTTAAGGGGCAGCGTGTGTGAGCTCACACAGCTCTCCAACAGAGCTGGCTTGATTCTGGCTCAAGTGTCACACAGGCAGAGGAGCCCAGCACTGTCTGCAGAGTGCACTCCTGGACTCCAGAGATTCCCATGTGGAATATACCACCAGCCAAGACAACATCTCACCACGAGATGTAAAACTCCCCTGTCATCTCCTCCTGGCTGCTCACTGCAGCTGAGCCAGCTGACTCAGCTCAGCAACATTACAGAAAAATCACCTCTGGCAGAAAAAGGTGAAGGTGAAAAAGGGAAGCCAGTGGAGTGAATTCATTACTCACCCTGTGGCCAGAGCCCATCACTAGAAGTGAGAGGGTAAAGAAGGGAAGCAGGGACAGCCAGGCTTTCTTCTTTTGAGTTGTCAGCAAGCAGCTGAGGCAGCCCAGCCCTGCTGCCACGCCACATCTGGAGGCAGCAGCACATGGAGATCATTCCCCAGACCTTAAGCAGATGATTCCCATTAAAGTGTAACCTTAAGTACTTATATCTGTCTCCTAGCTATCAAATGATAATTTTGATTCCATAAAGGATTTATTTTTTCCAAGTGGAGACTCATTGTTTAGGGAAAGAAATGAGAAACAAAAAAAATCAGTAGTACTCCAAGCTGGTACACTGCACAGATTGTGTTACAGTGCTTCAACTTAAGATTTTGGTCTTACGTAGAGAGAAAAATTGTATTATGTTTCAGCAAGATATTTTTATTATATTAAATTCTTGACTTCAGAGAGAAGCACATAGAATATCACTACTGGCCACAGGCACTAAGTTATGCACTACAGTTCAGAAGGCATTTTAGCCCACTAAAGCTGAGTTCCTAAACAGTAAGTAACAGCTGCATTTGAAACAAAACCAGTCCTTATTAAGACAAGATTCCAAGTTTCAGAATCATTAACACACCTAACATGACTACTAAATGCAAATTTTAATATGTACACTTTAATCCTAACATTAAAAAAAAGTTTAATTAACATGATTTATCAATGAACACTTTCTATCCCTGAACAGATCCTTCAGAAAAGCTGCCTGTAAGATTCCTGAGTACCAGGATCCTGTGAAAGCACTTACTCTCAACATACTATTTTGTTGTCCTAGAGAAAAGTGTTACAAAATACCATTTGTTACAAAAAGATAAAATGCACAAGCTTGGAGGAAGATTTCCTAGACAGAGGACAGCAACGAGCAGCAGGGGTCAGTTTAATGAGAAAGCCGTGGAAGTCTCCCTGGCTGATCTCAGGACAAGATTGACCTCATACACAGGAAAAGCAAATCACTGGATAAACTGACTTTATCTGATGGTTGTGGACATCAGTGATTAAGCTTTTAGTCTCCTCCACCTTTATTAAAACCATGTAAAAGAAATTAAACTTAACAACAGCTGTCACAAATTCTGTTTCACTCAACTTCACTATTTGAATGCCAGCAAAAAGGATCTACTCCAGCAATGCTCAGGGAAGCACAGTGTCTGTGGTTCATTTAGTGGTATGAAGGCATTGTCTGTATTTCCCTGCCTGCAAATCTGGACGGGTTCTTGTTTGTGATTTCTCGTGTAACATGATTTTACAGCCATGTACCCACCCCCACATTCACTTTAGAGCAGTTCTGTAATGGAAATAAACAACATAATGGCACTCTTTACAGTTCATGTTGCCATTACTTGAAGAAAAAACCAAACAAGACACTAGCAGTTTTACAATTTATTAACACATCCTTCCAAATTTAGGACAAGAAACTCCACAGCAACATGTTCACTCTAGAAAACCAGACACTACAAGTAGATGGAAAAGGCACTTCCTATCAGTTCCATGTATCACCCTTCTCTCAGCCCCACTTGAGGGAAGCAATGTGCTCTAAGTGTAATAATATAATGGCGATTAGTGGAGATCCTGCAGGGAAATAAAAAACTGTGGGTCTTTCCCCACTGGAAACGGCACTTTCAGCAGCATCAGCAGCGCAAACGCTGCACTATTAGCATACAACTGGAGTCATTTGCTGCCATCAGGCCTCGTTCATATGTAAACCAGCAACCCTCCCGTTTCCCGGGGAGAGAAAGTCTCCCACCCCCCTCACGGCTCCTCCAGCTGCAAGCAACACAGGTGCTAACTTATGCAAACACGAGGAAAACTCACTCTGCTGGTTTCTGGCTTTGGGGAGCTGCTGCTTCTCCCTCCAGCCTCTGCCCTGGCCTCTGGGTGACTTCGCTCCTCTCCTCAGTGCTGATGACTTTCACACTTACCTTTCTTTCCCCCCCATCCATGGCTGCATTTCTTCCTGCTGCTGCTTCTTGAAATGAGGCATGAGAAAAGCAGAACCTCAGCTTTTCCTCCTAAAGTCTCATGCATTTCTTCTTTCTCATTTAATACAGATCACTCCGTCTTTTCATTCCAATGTTGAGGTTTTTTGCAGCTTTTTTTTTTTTAACATCTAATCTGATTGGCTGTAGCCAAATTTCTAAATGCATTTCAGTACAGAATTCATTTCAGTCTGTGGTTCAGAATTGCCTGGAGTGCTACAAACTGAATCTTCAAAAGACTTACTCGCTCATTAGCATACACCTTCCTCTTCTGAGCAGTGCCTTCAGGTGCAGTCACCCTCTTTCCAAGAGCATGTTCCTCATCTTTACCTCTGAGGCACATTCCTCCTGCTCATCTCGGCCTGCCTATCTTCAATCTGCAGGGAAAGCAAAACACCGCAGTTCACTCATCATCCTGATGTCTCCTTCACTGCTACCCTGCTCAGTGCAGATGGTGCCCGTCTCCCTTATTCTTTGTTTTAACAACCATTCAGCAAAAGACACAGGAATTTACCATCTACAAACCAGGTGGCTTAGGCTGCTCTAAATAAAAGCAAACTGCTTTAGCCAGTCCTAGCTAAAGTAGGAAGTTTTACCATTTAAATTTAGACTAAATAAAAGTAAAGAAAGAATAGATAGATATTCTCTCTCTTGCTAGCTGGCTTTTGGCATACATGAGAAAACTGGAAAGAGACTTTTCACAAGGGCATATGGTAATGGACAAGGGGCAATATACAAGGGGCAATTGACAAGGGGTAACTGGCAAGGGGCAATTGACAAGGGGCAACTGACAAGGGGCAACTGACAAGGGGCAACGGCTTTAAACTGGAAGGATGTTTAGATGAGATATTAAGATGAGATTATTTACTGTGAGGAGGGTGAGACACTGGAAAACCCAGAGAAATTGTGGCTGCTCC